ATCTAGCCGCACTGGCAACCAATTGGTGCCGTGGTTCCAAGACCATCGTGCCTGTGTTCGATAGCCCCCGACGGATCCTGCGGTTCTCGTGAAAAATAACAAGGACACCACCGCACGCCACCAGATGACATGAACCACGCTTGTCACACGGGCGTCGTGGTGGCGCCAGCTTGTCGAATGAACGGTGGTTCTTGACAATCTAAAAGTCTCCAACCCCCACCCCGCCCTCTCCGTGACCACAATCAAGTCACGCCACCCAAAGCAGCATATCGCACACATAACTCCACGGTAGAATCACAAGCAGCCAAGACCTCGGTCTTCGAAGCACGTGCGATTTCCTCTAGGCGATCTACAACACAAACGACGTATTAACCCGCTTAGGCGCGTATCTGCATGAACGAATCGTGCACCCTCCAGCAACATCCCTCCCATGCAATGCGCCCGTCCGTCCGTCGCGAAACAGGACGACAGCTGACCTAGCGGCAGTGACTGGGACGAACCTTTGGGGTTGGTGTACACTATACACACCTCTATGACGTGGAGACACATCTCGGCCGAGTGTCGGTTGGTGGTGCAGTAGTCCCTGGTCCTCGCGTAGCACTTCAACGCCTGCTTCAGGTCTCCTCTGATTCAACGTTGAAGCAGCAGCAGCAGCAGCAGTAGCAACAGCAGCAGCAAAGGGTGGCGGATGGTTGGAGCACCACAACAAACAACAACAACAACAATAACAAAGCCGTCACCGCCAACAACGAAACGCTCAATAGAAAATAACTCTTCGATGCCAGTGGAGCCGCAAGGACCAGAGCAGACATTGGGGAGGAGGACCACTTCCAACACCACAAGTGCTTCCATCGTGCACAAAGACATGCGCATGTCCTGGCCGAAGGGGAAGGTTTACCGCCCGAACTTTCAGGGGTACCGTCCACACGACCGAACGTATTTTATGCCTCTCCTCTTTTCGGACTTGTTTGCTCCGATGCGATCGAGATGCGGTGCTCATTGCTCATTGCACATTGCTCAGCAGCAGCAACGGAATACCTCCTTCCGAGCCAGCGTCGACTGGTCTCGGTCCTTTTGTATTCGTCCGTTCTCCAGGCACTCTACAACCACGCTCAATTAAGGCTGTTTCGACCGTTCCCTCCCCACCCCAATCCGAGTATCGGATAAACCTATACCAAACAGGTTGAGCCTGCACTAGAGCCAGAGCCACGGGAAGTATTTCGTGCATGGTGCGGCATTGAAACCTCATCTACCCTCCAGCCGTCCCGCTGCGCGGTATCCGCCAGTGATAAGAGTTCGCGACTTGCTACCGGTTGATTGGTTGCTTGTCAGCTCCCTGTATTGTCGTTCTGTTTGTTCCTTTCTCAATATGTCTGTCTGTCTGCCTGCTTGTCCCTGCTGTCTTGTCTGTGTTTTCTCCTCTCTCTCTTTGCTCTCTGTCTCCTTACCTGCTTCTGCCCACCTCCCCCCCGCCTCTCACCTCCGATAGGAGAGGTCCCCAAGCTCGTTGTACCCCATGCGGATGCTCTCCTTGATGAGATTTATCTTGTACGAGTTGAGCTCAGCCTCCAGTCTGTCGACCGACTGCTGATACCGTCGGTCCACCTTACGTTTGCCCCGGCAACGTGAAACAAGAAACAAGATTGGTTCTTGTTTTCGACACGTGAAACAAGCAACAAGACGGGTTCTTGTTTCCGACACCTACAAATGCTACACGTAAAAACTAACATCAACGTGCAACACGTCAACCCTCAACAACCCTAGTAGGAATGCAACTCGGTGACACTAGCACTGGTGAAATTAAAGAAGCAAAGATACAAAAAAAAATGTGAACGCAGAAAGGCGGGAATCATCCCTTGAAGGAGAACCGTTTGGGTCCTCAGACGCGCTCAAAAGGCTGCGCTGTCTGTCTCATGTACTTGCGAACACTCGACACTCACACTCAAGGAGACAAGGCGCTCATCACCAACCGTTCCCGTTTCTCCTACAAACAGCAATGGCGAGATTTCCACCGGGTAGCCGGTGAACACAACGTCAGCCCTCCCAAAAAGAAAATTACAAGAACAGAACAGACACGCCGCTACTACGACACAAGGAGTAGGCACCCAAGGAAGAACGCTCACAGGTACCATGCCGTTTCGGCGTCTTGTCGAAAGTGCTCTGAAACCGACCGCTGGGCCCCTATGTGCGATCTCCTCCGCGGCTCCCCTGTCGAGGGGGTCCTGTGGGCTAGAAAACTGCGTTGATTCCCCACCCCCCTTAGACTGAAGTAGACACACACCTGTTCAACCCACTCCGTGTCCACGGCGTGCTCGGGGCCCATGAGCACAACAGCCCGGGTTGAGATGTCTCGGTAGCTCTGGGTGTTGATGCCCTGGCGCAGGAGAGTCAGCGCAGCGCGGTAACAGTCTGGGGCCAGCGTGGGACATCTCTGCGCTATCCAGTCCAGCCGTCGGAGCTTGGTGTAGCCGCCGTAGCGCGAGATGTACGCGTCAAGATCTGTCATAGAAGCGATGTCGCAAGTATTGTTGTCTTGATGACGTGTCGTGCTATTGCTCTTGATCTTGGTGGCGAAACCATTCATAAAAAATCGGAAATATTCAATCATGTCGTCTGACGCTTCTTTCTGCTGCACAGGGTGTTCGTATGGCGGGAGTCCGACCTGCCCGTTACGACTGTTTCCCATGTTTGGCAGACAACTACGACTTCCTGTCGATATTATCCTTGGGTATTCCTCATGTGGGAACAGCAGCAAAAGCACCGAGGAACTTGAAAACGATACGTACGCGTGAAAACCGCCGAATGCTTTGAATTGTAGCGCGCCGAAACTACCAGAACGTGCTATTCTACAAGCAAGCGGGTAGCAATGCAACACTGAGCCTTATTCCCGTCCTTTTAAAAGTGGCGATCAAATGCTTGTATTTAGACCGTACCGGGATTCTGATGGTCCAGACCCGTAAATGCTGATACCATGGCGGGGACCGTATGCTCTTCGTCGACGTCAATAAGGGCACAAGCTTCTCTTGTTAAATGGCGGTTGTGGCAGTCTTTACCCACGACCACCGTGGGCTTGCAGTTTTATTTCTTGAGATTTGGCGAGGAGAACGTGTCGGGAGAGAGAGAGAGAGAATGACACCGAAGAGATAGAGTATGGTAGTCCCAAAGACTCCTCACTCCCCATCGCCGCAGGCGGGTTCGGAATAAGTCTGCAATCCTTGGTGGGGTTTCTTGCTGTTCAACGACCAGCAAGATACCTTTGGATGTGCACCAATGCCTTCAGCACATCTACGCGATAATTCGGGTTGAGGTTAGTCGCGGCATGGGGTGGCACATTGGTCCTCACACGTGCCTAGTTGTCCTTATCGGTACCGTACCCGATTTGGCTTGCGTTGAGGGTTACCCCGTTCGAACTGCTAGGCACAAACAACCCCACATTCCTCTTCGATCCGACCGGCTGGGGGTAGAGCGCGGAGTCTGTCACGGGCAAGGTTTACCTCTCCTCTATCTGAGGGAGGCTACACTCTACTGATCGCAACGCACCCGACGGCGTGGTCACACTTGGCATCCCTCCCGATGTGCTCTTCTTGGGGTTTGTCGCCCCGCATGGTTTACGTGTAATGCTGTAGTTCTCTCCGCAAAGAGGGAGCATATTTCGAGGAAGACAAAACGCGAATATGCTTTGCAGCTTTGCGATGGTTGCGTGGCATTATCAGGATGTGTGGTTCGATTCTCCCCTCCGTGGCGGAACGATCGTTGCGTTTTCGAAGGTTGGATATCTGTGCCGGGTTCTCGGCGAAAAAAAAGACAGGCGGCTGGCTCACAAAAGGAGGATTTTGTGCACGCGCTCGCAACCCCATGGTGTAAAAATTCTGTAGACGCATGTGAATCTCGCTGAACGCGCTCGTGCAGTGGTGTGTCTCAATGTAAATGCTGTACAAGTACGCGCAGCCGTATGGGACACGGAGCATGTTTGTCGTTTCTGTGGGCATATGACAGACAAAAGGCGGGTGCCGTTTTGGCACACAGACCAGACACAATGTTGTTCGAAGTAGCATTGCAGTAGTTGGCTAGTACACGGTGGGAGGGGAATCACCGGTCCACCGGATATAACCCACCAACATCGTTTGGTTATCAAGTAAAGTTCCAAAGGGTATCTCCTTAGGTACTGTAGGACACGTTCACTGCCTGAGCATGTTCCGCACAAACACCTGCGCACCCGTGTCGCCTCTGCTGGTACAATCCACCACACAGCGCACTTCTTGCTGATACTTGTCGCAGGGTTGCACAACACATATGTCTCAAAGGTAGTTACGAAAAGCACTAGAGAGCGCAATTGCGCGTGCGATTCGCCTAGTGCCAGACGTGGCTTTCCTGCAGACTCCACAGCTTGAGCCTCTCCTCTCCCACCGCCCTCCACCTCCCCGACACCGAGACCGAGACGTGAGTGAGTGTGTGCACCCGTTGCACAACATGCAATCTCACCAAAGTTGGGAGGCAGAGGCACTAGGTCCACATCTCCAGCAACCACGGCATCCGTCTCCACCCCCGCAGCTCCACCCACGCTGCTGCTTCCACCAGCATCGCCCCCACCCCCTCCGGCAGCAAGCTCGGGTTGGGCGTTCCTATCGGTGTCCATGTCTCTGCTAATGCTCGCGCTGCCGCTGCTGCTGCCTCCCGCGGAGCTCTGCGCCGGTACAGGGTCTGCTTCGACATCCATCATCGCCTCAGGGTCCACAGGGACGCCTTTGTTGATTGACATTGTGCTTTTGCTAGAGATGTTTCACAGCACTTTCCTCGTCTGCACGAAGCGGCAAGCAAGCACGCGCCGGCGGAGCGCGACAACAGAGCGATGAACGTGGAGCAGCGGAGCAGTTGAGCAGCGGAGCACCTTCTTGCGGGGGCTCCGTGGTATTTAATCATGGTACTACGGAAGCACTTCCACGGAGCCCCTCCGCCGGACTGTTGGTTTTAGGTGCAGCAATGTGCTTTCAGCACTAGTGACCGCTGTGCTGTATGACGACTTGCCGTGCTGCGTGATGCGTCACATGTACATGTTTATGACCACATTCACATGACATTCGCTGATCACTGCTAGATAGTCACTGCAGCGCATCGTAGCGACGCGCAGCGTTGGCATTCACGTCAACTCCACAACGAGAGAGAAGGTGCCACACACCAGCAGCAGCAGGGCCGTTCAGCAACATATTGTTCACGGCACTAGACTCATGATCCGTCACGGAACATGGCGACTTGCTCGTCGAGCTGGGGTTGCTTTGGCTATGCCGAGGGTACGGTCGCTTCACGAAGGAAGGGCTGTGCTGGACGTGAGCCTCGGCGAGCGTGATCACGTAATCCAGGTGTGTGAAAGGCTTGAGGGATTTTAGGTTCTGCTTCGTTCGCCCGAGGTGCGCATGTTCCCATGCGGAACGACCAACATCTGGCATCTCGCCGCCCGTACAAGACGGTGGCATGTATCTCGAACGGGTTGTATTTCTGTGTTTGTACATTTAGCATTTTTCCTAATAAAAAGTAAAAGGAATAGTGTACGGAGTATTTTCGTCCTACTGCTGTATTCGCGGACAGCGTTCTAGGTTTTCTGCAGCAGTCGCATCCGTTGCACTTGCATAGCTAGTCGGGACTCGCGTAGACTACATTATTATAGTAACGTTTCGGGCTGCTCAAATCCGAGTACGAGTCTAGCGCACATGAAGACTACAGCAGTACACCTACCAAGTTTGGCGCTTCTTGTGATTGTTTGTAGATGCGTGAGATTCAGAGACAGAAACAAGCCCCCTCGAAGGTCTCTTCTTAACTCACGAGTAGCTACTACCACACGAGGACTAAGATTTGACTTCTTATAAGTGTTGTACTGGATCGGAGATTGCGGGCTGGCGCGCTCTCTGCGGAGATTGTTGTTGTTGTTGTTGATTTCACACCAGTTGCTAAATGCCAAAATCTAGCAAAGACTCTCGGCCCGTGGTCACGAAAGTGCTAGAGCCATCTGAGGATCTAAAGAACACGCACACGTAGCAAGAAAAAGGTAT